CAGCGATGCGGCCAACGTCAGCAGGCCTTGAGTGTGCCCATGTGAGGTCTGCCAGAACCACAGGTTTTGAAGTTTACTAAGGATGGTCTTCTAAGGAGGGTTAAACAGACCTCACATGTGTGCCTGTGCTTCCCCCTGTGTCATGTTGGGAAGCAAGAGGGCCATCAGGTCCAGGCATTTGGCACCGTTTAAAGCTCGCGAGAGATTCAAAGGCGGTGCACTTGGCATGTGGAGTTTAGGAGTTTGCTCACGTTGTTCTCGCCTGGCAGTTTCTCTTTTTGATAAGCAGCTACCTCTGGTTCCTTGCATCGCAGCTATATTATTGCTTTTTCATTCTACAGAAAGGTCGGACTTGAAGGTAGAGACACGGTCAAGCTCATTAGTACAACGCGCTGATGGAGAGTGATGAACATTGGAGGACAGGGACTTGTCTGGCATGTCGCATGGCCTGCATCCAGCTTCGCACTGCTTGGCTCCAGGCCATTGCTTGGCGCTGAAACATGAGATGGGTGTCAGGTTTGGCACGGAGTCGCCTCACCCAGCCTTGCCATGCCGACTTGCCAACTGGCCAACTTGCCAATGCGACATAATTTTTTGGAAGGGGTCGAGAAGATTCCAGACAATTGCCCCCTTCAACTGCCCTCAAGACCGGTGGGGCGATGCCTTAGCGGGCAATGGTCTGGCCAGCACCCTGTGGGAGCTGGTTGCTCAAACTTGCGAGCAAGAAAGGGGTGTGCCAGGTCGCGGTTTCGGCAGATTTTGAGCCTGGCGCATGTGAATATAGGGAAGCGCCGCAAAAGTGGTTCCTGAATCTCTTGATCATTCCAAATCATGGCCATAGAGCCACTGGCAAAGTAAGTTCCCATGGAGAGTGGCAAACTCAGGGATCTAGGGCCTCAGAGTTCTGCTAAGGCGGTTGCTATGTCTGCGGAGGCCTGGATGGACTATCTCTTTGCATCACCCCTTAAACCGTTCGGTGGGGCGGGGGGGCGGGCATCACCTGCTTATCTCAGCGTTCAAGGCGCTGTCCTCTGGATCTCTTTGCATAGTCTGGCGGTTGATTCCCGCCTCTCAACCATCCGCTTTTGGTTCAAACACCAGCCGTTTGGGTGAAGAAGGCGCCCCTGGAAACTGCCACGACCAGATGGTTTGTGTCTTTTTGAAGCAGCTTCCCTTTGGTTTTCCTTTGAAGCAACCGAGACATTTTGTACCGAACCATTAGGCAGACGTGTCACCGCCATCACTGACCAACTCGAGAAACGAGGCGGGCCGGCGTGTGAGAGTCGGTGCCAGGTCCCGCGGTGGTTTCGCTTCCGCTGGCTGAAGACTTTTTGGAGGGCCATTTTTCTTTGGCTTTGATTTTTCTCCCTTCTTTCTTTGGAGAACCATAGCCCCAAAGCAAAACGGGAAAAGCATCCCGGCAACAATCCGGACCCATCCTTTCTTGGACTTTCCTTGTTGGTTTTTTGCAGGGAAACGATCGCCACTGGAAATACTTCTTTCCAGGGGGCTTCCGCAAATGGAAGGGAAGTCAAGTTGCCCGTTTTGTGGGTCCGGTGACCCCCATTTTGAGATGCAAACCCAAACCTGAGCTTAGGTCCGCTTCCCTAAGGCGGGTGATTGGGGTCACAGGATCCACTTGATGAACGGGGGGCTATCTTTGCTTGAAGGGAAACCACACATCGTTTGACGTCGGATTTGAAGGAGGCGGAAGCTGAAGGCCAGAGGAATCCCCAAATCCGGCCACTGAAAGTGGGGGGTTTCCCAGCCCTCAAGCTTCCATGGTTCATGGTTCGGCCGAGGTGAGCTCGGGTTACAGGAAGGTGGGCTTTCTGTTAGACGATGATGAGGACGGCTCCGAGCGACTGGAGCCATGGGTATGGAAAAACTCCCTGTTTCGAGGAATGCTCATTTGAGAACAGGACTTGCTCTTTGCGGATGTGCTTGCCGTAATGTTGGAGTCATGCTTCAAGACGGGACTGTTGAGGACGCAGCCCTCATTGCGGATGCTCAGATCCATGATTGCCTGATCGTTGGGGCAAGCACAGGCTCGGTGGGAAAGTTTCAGGAACGGTCTGAAGGGGTTTGGGACCTCACGAAGTTTCAACCAAATCCGCGGAACACGACTTTTCTCATGTGCATTGTGCGAACCACTTCCGTCGTGTGGAACGCTTTGGAATGGGATTAGAGATGAGGAGAGTTGCCTTGATCGTTTTATTTTGTTGAATCCAAGGCAATCCGCGACACGTCACATTCGCGGCCAAAAGCTGACTGTGCGAGAGTAGATGAAGCTTAAAGGGCAGCTCCAGCTACGAATGATTCGATGCGGCGGTTGAACCGGCCTTTGGATTCTTGACATGGTTTGGACCTTGCCGCTGCTCATTTCCATATGCGGAGCTTCTACAGTTTATCATTTTTGACGCGGTGCGGAACCCCCGACAGCCTTTCACCTCCCCTTTTTTCTCCAGGGTTTCTGGAAACCCATTCAACATGACCGACACTCAATGGTTCACAGGGTTGGGACAAAGATATTTTTCAGAGCGAACCGTTCTGCCAGGCTTCACCCAGCTCACAGGCTTCACCCGAGATGAGGCGCGTGCGCTTTTTCTGCCTAGGACATGGCGGTGTCATCCTTCTTTTTGAGGGGAGAAATCCCTGGTTGGTAAGAAAGGCTTCAAGGACACCCACAATTTTGGGAGGGTCCACTTCAAGTCACATATGAGCGGCTTTTTGGAGCCCAAGGTTGGAGTTCCCCGGAGTCTTTGTTGGAGTGCTGGTATACTCTACTCAGATTGTGCTTTCGATTCGCGTAGTTGTTCTTTTGAGCTACAATCAAAACCTAGAAAACCGCCAATTTCGTTGGAGCGGGGTTTCATTTAAGAAGGGGTCCTCCGAGGCAGGCCGATTTGTGTGATGCTTACAAAAAAGTATAGGGAGCCCCGGTAAATGTGGCTGTGGGTCAAAACCAATGGGATCCCATTTTGGGGTAGGTGAATTCACCGCCCATTTTAGATCCTATTTTAGTGGCTGGATTGGGATGTTCACTGTCTAACCGATTTGGATTTTGACCCATGGCCGTGTCTGCCTTTTGTCCAAGAGCGCGCTCCGCGTATGCAGGTCCTGGGACAGAACTGCCGAATGATGCTGGAGGGAGTCCCGGAGGCAGGGCGGCGGTAAAAAACCCCGCGCCACGCTAGGTGGGTGCGTTTTTTGTTTTTTTTTTGGGGGGGGGGGCGCTTTTTTGGTGGTTTAACGAGGGGGTCCCCTATTTCAAGGCACACTTCTGTGGGTATACGGGGAAACACACCATTAACATGGCGATGATTCGGCTGGTTTCCCCAAAGCCAACCTGAATAAGTAGGTACTCTTAAAGAAGACACACACACACACACATCCATGCGAGGCCTCTAGAAATTTCAAGAAGGTCCAACGTGAATTGCGGGACATGTGGGAACGTGACATTTAAGTCACAAAAACCAGAGGGAGGGGAGGACTATTAAGAATCTTTTGGTTGATCTTTAAAAAGCCAGACATTTTAGAAACTTTAAGTACAAAACCCTGGGGGACCAGCCTAGCTTTTACCATCTCCATTGCGGGTAAGCGAAGGCAGACTTTGACATCGGGCCATTTTTCAAGCCAAGAGTTGACCAAAGGTTCGCCCGTCCCCATGATCCAATTTGGCAGTCCATGGTGCTCAACAGAACAAATCCAAGCATGGGGACCCCTCCATGGCTTTCAGCAAGTCTACGGCCCTGAGAGGAAGTAGTTGCCACTTGCCAAAGACCTCGGACCTCACAAAGAAGCGCAGGAATTGGCGGAGCGGGGTGAAACCAAGCCTCAAGTGAGAAATTGACCCTGACTTGTGCCAACTGATTGTGCCATCCAATTTTTCAATCTCGAGGATCTTTGCACGCTTTACTATCTTTGTCCCCACAGAACTCTGTCGTGGGGGAGCCTTCGCAATTTTGACCGCGGCTCAAATGAAAATGCAGCGTTCAGCCCTGAGGTTGCCATCTCCAAGTCCGCAAGGAAGAATCTCAGAGACTTCTGCCGGATGTGGGCGCCGCAGCATCACGTTGCCGCGCTGCGTGTCTTACACAATGTGAAGTCAGAAATTGGTTGCACACATCCAATCAATTTCTGATGTGTCCGTCTTAAAGCACACCCTCGTCCCTACACCTCACATGTTTTTGTTGCAGAGCCCTTCGACCAGATTTCGTTTCCTCCCCAATAAACTTGTTTTTGCGTGCAGTTTGAGGCCAAGCACAGGTGAACAACGCCTCACAGGGTTGTTGCTACTTTCGATTAATTCGCCTATTATTTCTCCGGAACATCCCCCAAGCCTCCCGTGATTCCCTAAAGGAGGCTCGGGTATTGACGGGCACCATGTCAGAGACTTGTCCATTCGATTGGATGTGGGAGCCCAGGTGCAAGGTGAAGCGGCTGGATCACATCTCCGAGGTGCAGCCCCCAGTAGTGGCACTGACGCAGGGCTGGATCCCGGCCGGTCCGTCCCCGAAAACTTCAATTGAACCACCTTGAAACGGGGGCTAGGGATCGGCGGCTTCCGTCTGCTGAAACCGGGGTTCCATTCTGAGGCGACCCCTGTTGAAAATTTAGTAACATTTGGAGTTGTCATGTCAGATTACTGGTGGACCTCGGTGGGAAACCCTTTTGAACCATTTGGAGCATATTGGGAGATGTCTTACTAGAAGGGTCCCACTTTTGCATGGTGCAACACTTGACGACTTCGCGAGCGATACCCATGCAGAATGATACGTGTTTTTGTGAGCAAGGCCCAAGGTGGCAATCCTTGACTTCCCCCAAAAAAGACTCGCTTTTCGGGTTTTAGCATGCGATCCTGTCATCTTGAAGGCTAAACAGCGCAATCTCCTATGTCTCATCCAAGAAGGCTATATATCAGAAGTCGGCGCATGGGCTTCCCTTCCCTGACGGGTCAGGGAACTCCGTCAAAAAGCCTGCCACTGCCCAAGCCTTTCTCTCATGCCGACTCCTCCAGCACCCCGTTCACGCAAAACCTGCCTGGTCGGAG